GACTAATCTGAATAATTTCCTATATTGGATTTACAAAAGAGACTTGTTAAAGTTCTGAAGAATTTTGTGAGAAGCAACAAAAGAAAATGAAAAGAAATCAAAGTCTAGACTCTAGGCCATTATTTGAAGGGTCAAGATTGTTTAAATAAAGATCAAGATTGTTAAAAATAAAAGGAAAGAATATAAAATTGATTTTTAAAGGTTAAAAGGATATGTTAACTCTGCTAACCTTTAATGGACTTTGCTGACTGGGAACAAATGATTAGGTTTTAAGGATTTCTTCATAAATGAGAGATGGGAGATGGGAACAAAAGATCATTTGTTGTATTTTAAGAGAAGATGTTAAGTTACTAAAATTGTTTATACTTGCTATGATGAAAGAGGAAATCAATATATACACATAATACCTATATATATAAAAGCTTAGAAACTAGTGGATTGTGATTTCACTGAACTAGGGCTGCATAAAAATCTTGGTTTACGTAGGAAGAACCTGGCTAAAAGTGAAATACACATAAAGGCCTACGAAAAGAAAAGAAAACAAATACTGTACCTTTACAGGGGGGATACATGGGATGAGGGTGTGGCTAACTGATGAGGACTAATAAGTCCGAAATAGATCTATCTTAGTCTCCTTAGTCTCCCAATGGGCAGCAGGGTGCTTGTTGGCTGCCTGAAAAAAGCCTAGAAACTAGTGGATTGTGATTTCACTGAATAGGGCTGCATAAAAATCTTGGTTTACGTAGGAAGAACCTGGCTAAAGAGAAATACACATAAAGGCCTATGAAAAGAAAAGAAAACAAGAAAAGAAAACATATGTATGTATGTGTGTATGTATGTATGTAGGTATGTAGGTAGGTATGTATGTATATGTAGTCTCAACTTACACCCAAATGTTTTAAGGATTATTCAAAGTTATGAAAGCCTCAGATAGGATGTTTTATGGCCTATCAAACATTTCTGGCTTTTGTAAAACGTCTCCCCGCCTCCCCCAAGCATGATCACATGACTGCATTTTGGGTGCTTGGCAACTGGGTGCATTTAGCTCTGTTCCTGCGGATCCATGGAGGATTTCCCCTCCATTCATGAAGGAGAGGATAAATCCTTAGTTTGGCTCCAGGAGTGTTTGAGACTGAAAGGGCTACCTGCTGGGAGAATTTCAGCTCCATGCAGCTCCATGAAATCTAGCAGGCAGCTCTTTTGCTCTGCCTACTTAATGACCTGGGACCTGTGCTTAATGACCACAACCAGAGGTTCCATTGTGGTCGTTGAATAAAGCAGTCACGTGACATATCAGTTAATTAACGCTTTGCTCAATTATCAATGTTCCAACTCTGGCCATAAAGTGAGCACTATCTGTACATTATATTTTCCTTTTTTTTCTCTCTATTTCTTTTTTATTTTTATCTTCTTACTTTGTATTAGTTTATAATCTTATCTTAATTATCTTATCTTATTATAATTATCTTATTAATAAGAGCATTAATGTTCTGATGTTGTTGTTAGAGAAAATGTCTGGGAATTCCATGAATAACAAACCCCGCCCCCCCCAAAAAAACTATGTACTACCAAACAGCAAGAACAAATCAATCTGACAATCAGACAAATGACCAGGCTCAAATTATCATATTTTGGACAATTATGAGAAAACCAAACTCCCTAACTTTCCATAATGTTGGGAAAGGTGAATTAAAAGGGAAACAGAGCACAACTAGAAGCCAGGTGGATGAATTCAGTTTTATTGGATAGGAATAAATTGTTGAGAGACTTGAAAGACCAGACTGTAAAAATCCATCTGTGTGATTGCTAAAGAGTCGACACAAATTTGATGTGACATAATCAATGCTGAGAAGATGCATGAAATATAAGACTTTCTCTAAATTCTTAACCTGCAGTCAAGTGCGAATAAAATGACTGGCACTAGTACCAGGAAACCCAGATATTCTTTTTTTTTTAAAAAAAACTCTTCTACGTCAAGCAATTACCCTCTTTGATTATATTAAAATGTCATGTAATGTCCTCTTCTATTCATTGGGATTTTTTTCTTTTAACCCCCCCCCCCCCGGAACTGTGCTTTCCTGATATTATAAGAGCTAGAATATCTGTAGCTAAACACAAACTGCTTCTGCCTAGCATTTTCAGTCGTCCCCCCCTCCTTTTTTTTTTTTTTCCATTTGGGTGTTCTAAGACTCACTGATGAAAAGATCCAGGATAATTTTCAAGTGATGTATATTACATCTTTTTAGAAATATACTTAACATTGCGATGGAACCGGCCATTTCAATTTAACATAATGGAAGTAAAAATACAGCTAGGCCTTTTCAGATATCGCATGTTCTTTCTTTTCTGTATGTGTGTTCATTCTACGTCTATGAGCCTTGGTGGCGCAGTGGACTGTTAAAGTAGCACTTAGTTGCCAGCTGCCTGCAATTACTGCGAGTTCAAATCTCACCAGGCTCAAGGTTGACTCAGCCTTCCATCCTTTCGAGGTAGGTAAAATGAGGACCTGGATTGTGGGGGCAATAAGATGACTTTGTATAAAAAAAGAACACCGCTTGGGGGGGGTGCGAAAGCCCTACTAAGCAGGTATATATAAAAGTATGAAGGCTATTGCTTAATGCATTGTAAGCCGCTCTGAGTCTCTGGAGAAGGGCGGCATATAAATCGAACTAATAACTAATAAATAAAATAAATAAATAAATGAGCAGGCTGATGATAATAGCAATAGCACTTAGACTTATATACCGCTTCACAGTGCTTTACAGCCCTCTCTTAAGTGCTTTTACAAAATCAGCATATTATACGATGGTCATTGAGTGTACCAAAGCCATTTTTTAAAAAAAGGATCTGGACTCCTTTTCTGAAGAAAAAGACTTTTTGCATATTTATTATATAAGTATAGATAATATGTTTTTCAGCTCTGTAAATATTTGACCTTATATTTCACCTTGAATTTTCTCTGTTTTTCTCATACACTTTTATAATACTGTACTTGATGAGGGAATGTCATGCGTTTTGATGTGCTGCCATCTAGTGGTTAGATTTACTGCTTAATTCAGTAACAATCAATAGCTACTTTCACAGTTTACCTTGGCTTCCAGCAAGATTTTAGCAGTTTCTTGAACAGCAGCAGCTACGAAACTCAGACATCTGGTTTTACTAGAGTGTAATATCAATTCTTCCCACTTTTCTATTATATTTATAACCCATTAAGGAGTTTAGTTCTGTAACATGAATGGCTAAAGGTAAAGGTTCCCCTCACACATATGTGCTAGTCATTCCCAACTCTAGGGGGCGGTGCTCATCTCCTTTTCAAAGCCGAAGAGCCAGCACTGTCCGAAGACGTCTCCATGGTCATGTGGCCGGCATGAAAAAAATGCTTAAAAAGTTTTTAAAAAAAGGTTCCAAAGATCAGCTGAGCGACGCACGATCGTCAGAACTTTTTTTTTTTCTTTTTAAGCATTTTTTTACTACCGGTTTGGGCGAACCGGCCCAAACCGGTAGCATTTCACTCCTGTTGCTAAGTGAGGCTACCTCACTTAGCTGCTACCTTCTATTGGTTCCTGTGTATCCTATTTAGGTATCTGTAGCATGTAGCCTGTAGTACAGTGGACTAAGCACTGTTATTAACAACTGCTGCTTGCAATTACTGCAAGTTCAAATCTCACCAGGCTCAAGGTTGACTCAGCCTTCCATACTTTCAAAGGTAGGTGAAATGAGGACCCAGATTGTGGGGGCAATAAGCTGACTTTGTATAAATATACAAAAGTATGAAGGCTATTGCTTAACGCATTGTAAGCCACCCTGAGTCTCTGGAGAAGGGCGGCGTATAAATTAAAGCAAAAAAAAAAAAATCTTACTTAACAGGATCTTTCTATCTATCCTTTTAAGATCTGCTAAAATGCCCAAACCCTGAAGTATGTAATCAGAAACTTAGCAGTACATATTTTAAAATACTTTCAAAATTATCCTTTCTTTAAAAGGATGAAGATGTGGTATATTTCAGGATTTCCAGTTCAGAGTTTAAAATAGCATTTGCTTAGCTATATATAATCCAGCATAGTGAAAGCTGAAGGGAGGCAGAATTAGGATACAATGGACAAAGTCATTGTAGTACCTTGTAGCCATAACCTCTAGCAAATTCTCAGTATATCTGATATCAGGACATTTTGCTGTTTGAGAAACAGCATCTGACATGTTATAGCCAGAGGTGTGCTGCAGCCGGTTTGCACTGGTTCAAGCGAACCAGTTGTTAAGTTTTTTACCAGTTTGGAGAACCGGCTAAACCCACCTCTGGCTGGCCCCGCCCTGCCCCTCCTATGAGTCCCCTCAAGTGCCCCATTTTGGATTCTAGGTTAGTGCAGGAGGCCTTCCAGGCTCAAAACGGGTAGTAGAAATCGATGTTTTTCTTCTTGGATAGCTTGCTTGGAACTGAAGTTTAGAATGGAAAGTTCTAAATTGTGCTCTAATTTCTTTTCTAGTCTTATTTATATGACTTCTATCGCTATCAATAGCTGTTTTGGTGGGATAATGTCATTTCTTGTTGAAAGAACTACACTTTCAACATGTATTCAACCTTGGCAGCCGAATTGGTAAGGGGAATTCCACATACTGTCCATGTACTTAAGCAAGCAGTTCCTTGTGTAGGTACATCTGTATATGAACAGTTAGCTCCTTGCAAGCATTGTTTATAGCTCTGTTAACTTTGTGTCTCAATGGAGAAGCTGAATTGTATTCTCCTGTAAAACCTTATCCAAAGACTTCGTCATCTGTTAAAAAAGAGGCTAAAAATTAGACTACGTTCCTTCACAGTCCCTTTATCCCACATTCTGTTGAGTGAGATCAACCTTTATTTTTCTCCTTTGCAGTTTATTACACTATTGAAAGACAGGAATTTTTATTTATTTCTCATTTATTGTTTCTTTTCTTTTTTTTAAAAAAAAAACTTAACTAAATGTTTTAGTGATTTTAATTTTTGTTTTTTTTTTCTTCCCCCCCAGTTTCCTCATAGTGCTGATCTGCCTTATATTCAGTGTGCTTTCCACGATTGATCAATATGCAGCTCTGGCCACAGGGACATTATTTTGGATGGTATGCCTATGGATATTTGCTTAAGCAACATATAATTTGTATGTATTTTGAGAAGAATTAAAATTGAAATATAGACATGTTTTTATATGAATATACTGTGTATATATTTGGTAATGTTATTTGGATGTATTCTAATCTACTAAAATGTCCAAGCATGATAATATGAAGTATAATCATATACTTATCAGTGCACATTTTACAATACTTTCATCTTTTTTTTTTCCTGATTGATTTGTATTTGTATGAGAGTAATATGGATAACATGGAAGTAGGTTTGTGTAAAACCTTTAGGTTCAGGCATGGAACGATCTGTAGAAATCCAAATTGGTTCTCATTATACTCTGGATTGTGTTCATTTGGCCATTCCAAGGGTGGTCCAATGGTTTTTATCATCCAAATCAAGAGTATTTTGTGAGGTTTCTAACATGGTGTTCCTGGCAAAACAGTTATGTTTTGGTGACCACATCCAGAATACGTCAGCTTTAGTTTGGAGGATTAATTTCCAGAGTATATTTTGACCATACCATATTGGTACAGTTCAGAAGAGAAGGATAATGTTGCAGAGAACCTGAGTTCTGTTTCAGTAGGTTTTGGACATCCCTACATAGAAGGATGTAGTCCTCTAGATTGTCCCACAAAGTTTAATCAATTGAGTAGGGTGATTGAACAATAATATGTGTGGCAATTCTCAAGACAAGAGGTAAAAATCAGTCATATACATGTTTTTAGTATTATTTATTTATTTATTTATTATTTATTAGTTCAATTTATATGCCGCCCTTCTCCGGAGACTCAGGGCGGCTTACAATGCGTTAAGCAATAGCCTTTATACTTTTGTATATACCTGCTTAGTAGGGCTTTCGCCCCGCCCCCCCAAGCGGTGTTCTTTTTTATACAAAGTCAGCTTATTGCCCCCACAATCCGGGTCCTCATTTTACCTACCTCGAAAGGATGGAAGGCTGAGTCAACCTTGAGCCTGGTGAGATTCGAACTTGCAGTAATTGCAGGCAGCTGGTGCTAGTTAACAGCACTTTAGTCTGCTACGCCACCAAGGCTCTTAGAAATACTAATACTAAATTCTGACATTAGAATACACCACCAAACATTTCTTTTCAAGGATTTGTACAGTCTATAGTTTTTGCTGTTGTGCATCAGTGTTATGCACTGATCCATACAAATCCAATAAGGCTAACAATCACTTGAATGCTGTGTCCAAGTTCAAGAGTATTCAATAAATAAGTCCTCTGAGTTCTCCATTGTCAGGACCTGTGTCAGGTTCATGAAACACATACTCAGAGTAATATAAGCAGCCCTTCCCAGCTATTATGTTCCTTGCTGATATCTCAGTAGAAATTGCTGGCATTGCATTACCTGACTTAATTCCTTGGGGCAAGCCAACATTTATATTTCATTTCACTTTGGGCACTTAATCCTGCAGTTGTTTCTTATGTTGGGATTTCCCCATTATATGTGTTTTAATATTTAATGTAGGCAAAACCCTACCCTCCTTTTTCCAGAGAGTCAACTTTCAGAGTTCAAGTTCGTATGAATAAAGGCCCAGTTTTTATGTCTTTCGTATGCAGCGCAACAGGTTTATAGCACTTGGGTTAAGTCCTTTTTAATTTTGTCTTTTATTTATAGAGTTATTTTTAGACAGAACTGGTAGTGAATAGTTTCATATAGTGAATGTACAGATACTAATTGGCTTTTATGAACAGCAGACTAATTGAGTTTCAGAAAAAAGACCAGCTTTCGTATCCTGGTAATTTCCAGAAACATTGAATTAAAATTTCTGAAGTTCGTGTTTGAGACTTGGAATGCCTAAAATTCTAGAATTCCAGCACAGGTTGGCATTATGATTGAGAAAATAGTATTTGAACATTGAGGCTAGTGGAACAATGATTAAGTGGGGTTTAGGTAAGGATTTAGTCTGATATAAGACTAAAAAGATAAGGAAGATAAGGCCATGGAGAGCATCAAAGTTAAGGATAGATTATGATGGTCCTTGAAGGGTAATGTTAGTGCTATTAAGTTAGCAAAGACAAGCTCAGGTAGTGGCGATTACATGGAAATGTTTACAGAATTAGTTTTCGTGACACAGTAGGAAAATTATTTGCAATTACTTTGTGGAATTTGGTCATCCCAAATTTAACAGAGTTTGCTAATCAAATCTGGTCTTGCTTAGCTTCCTAAGTTTAAACAATGTTATACAGTAGTGGCCAAAATTGTGGAAACCTTTTGGGAAAAGTGTATTTTCTAAAACTAGCTAATAACACCACTTTTTTTGGAATAATACCATAAAATTATTCATCAATGGAAAGGTAATTTAATCAAGAATGTAATGCAATAACTTTATGAAGGATTTGCTATTAGAATAGCAGTTACAGTATAAAGAAGAAAAGTGAATCATGTAGAAGAAACGAAATATACAAAAATTATTATGTCAGTTAAAACTTAGTTGAGTAACCTTGGTAGTACAGTGGTCTAAAGCACCCTGTTATTAAGACCACCTGCCTGCAATTACTGCAGGTTCGAATCTCGTCAGGCTCAAGGTTGACTCAGCCTTCCATCCTTTCTAAGGTAGGTAAATTGAGGACCCAGTTGTGGGGGCAATAAGCTGACTTTGTATAAATATACAAAAGGATGAAGGCTATTGCTTAGCACATTGTAAGCCGCCCTGAGTCTCCGGAGAAGGGCGGCATATAAATCAAATTAAAGCAAAACAAAACAAAAAAAACCTTTAGCATGAATTCTGGCCTTACAACGTCTTCCCATGGAGTGAAGCAAGTCTTTTAGTTCTGCAGCTGTTATAATGTGAAACCAAGATTGAATGATTGTTTCTATTAACCTGGTTTTATTGCTGTGTCGCTTCTGACTAACAAGTTTCTTTAGTCGGCTCCATAGACTTTCAATTGGGTTAAGGTCTGGGCTATTCCCAGGCCATTCCAGCAGTGAAATATGATTATCTTGAAACTCCCCCCCCAAAAGGGGGGGGTGTTATTAGCCATCAAACCTCAAAAATACACACTTTTCCCAAAAGGTTTCCACAATTTTGGCCACTACAGTAATTTAAATTAATTTAAGTTTTATGATAAATCCAATGTCATCTGAATGGATTGCTGCCCATATGACAAGACTTTATCATTTTGTTCTCCCCGGAAGAAGTTCTCTTCCGACTTAAGAGTTTTGGTGCCCTTCACTGATAGAAAAGACTTGTAGACTAGAGAACAAGTGTGGAACTTGTTTCACAAAGCAGTTTTAGTGGGAGGAGCTTACTATTCACAAAATGGCTACCTATTACAAACCATTCAACTGATGACATACTTTGCCAACCCTGCATACTATCATCTATTTGGGGACATATTTCCAAACAGAGTACTAGATTGAAATCTAAGAACATAAGAAAACCTACAAGGCCTATTAGAACCTACCCAGAGGTATCCTTGGAAGGTGGTGCTAGAAGTTGATGCTTTGCTTTGCAATCTGTTATTTTTTCTTTTAATTCATTAGCAAAACAATTATGCACACATAGGAAGCCTAGTATTCTCAGAGGTTAAAGAAATACAAAGGCATAGGAGTCACTTTGCTTACATCTGTGTAGCCTGTGGCTCAGAATTTGAGAGAGTGTAGAGATTGAGGGGAATTGTCCTTTTTTACACAATACTGTATAGTAAAATGTTTCTCTTTATGTTAATTTGTTTTTGTTAATAAATATATATGATCTTCTTTTGTATTATTACTTCCTTAAATAATATACCTGTGTTTCTTCTGGGTATTTTACTACGGTAGTAGCTTTTCCTTGAGTAAAATATTTTCCCCTGTGAAATAGAAATTATTTTTGAGAACTTTGTTTTGCATGTTTTATTTTTGTTAGACCTGCATAATTGTCCTCTTGCTGGATGACTTTAATATTTACTCAATAAATTGTGGAAAATAACTGTTAACAATTACTGAGGATTTTCTGAGTTTGAGAAGCTCTGAATGAAAATTTCATAATTCAGTAGAAAGTGTGATGCAAAGAAAATAATTGAATTATTTTCTCAATTTGCACAAGATGGAGACCAGTTGAATAAATTGTCTACTTTCTGTGCAGAATACAATCCTGCAGAGACTGTTGAAGGAAAGAGATGAATGCACAGAGATTAGTTATTGCTATACGGCTTATGATATGAGAAAAATTCAAAAGTTAGTATGATTATTTTTTTTAAAAAAAGCCTATGCACTTCAACATTAGAAAGGAAGCCCAATGACATATTTTGCTGAAGGTCTAGGTGGAATTAACAGGAAGAGTTGAAATAAGTCTTGAAAGTATGAGAAGGGTTGTTTATTTTTTTCCCCATAATCTTAAAAATGAAAGATTATAGCATGATCAGAAGTATCACTGACCATATGAGAAAAAGAAAACAGGATATGCTTTAATGTTGACATCCCTGCATCCTATACAGTAAAGGCATGCACCACAAGATCAGCAGAGGAAGGAAATTTATTCCTTCTAAGCTTATATATACAGTATATTTGCTATATTTGTGTCTCTTCCATTTACAAAAAAATAAGAATATCTCTGTGTTCCAATCTATACTCCTTCAAATTTTTTAATACAGTTTGCAGTTTTAAAATGCATACAAGATATGTTTGCACAAACAATACTTATAAATAGGAATCTCATATTAAAGCTGTATTAGGAAATTGTGCGGGGAATGTGCATGTTAGAGAAAATGTGCACAAAAATACATGCATAAAGATATAAATGGATATACATGTGAGCAAATTGTCCTGTTAATTTTTGGAAAAGCATAAATATGCAAAGGTAAGTGAAACTGAAGTTTGCAGATTTAATCTCTTCTTAGTTCTGAGGGATTAAATGGAAAGGCAATATTTACTCACTATTTCTATAAATGAAGTTCTTTTGAAATTAAACAGGAACCAGGTACTTAACTGGCCTTGGAATATGAGCCAATAAATGAATCCAAAGCTCTCACATGTATTTATATTTCCTGATT